TCTGCTGTGTGATGAGTCTATGGGTCTCTGCTGTGTGATGAGTCTATGGGTCTCTACTGTGTGGTGATTCTATGGGTCTCTGCTGTGTGATGAGTCTATGGGTCTCTGCTGTGTGATGAGTCTATGGGTCTCTGCTGTGTGATGAGTCTATGGGTCTCTACTGTGTGATGAGTCTATGGGCCTCTGCTGTGTGATGAGTCTATGGGTCTCTACTGTGTGATGAGTCTATGGGTCTCTACTGTGTGATGAGTCTATGGGTCTCTGCTGTGTGATGAGTCTATGGGTCTCTGTGTGTGATGAGTCTATGGGTCTCTGCTGTGTGATGAGTCTATGGGTCTCTACTGTGTGGTGATTCTATGGGTCTCTGCTGTGTGATGAGTCTATGGGTCTCTGCTGTGTGATGAGACTATGGGTCTTTACTGTGTGACGAGTCTATGGGTCTCTGCTGTGTGATGAGTCTATGGGTCTCTGCTGTGTGATGAGTCTATGGGTCTCTGTGTGTGATGAGTCTATGGGTCTCTGCTGTGTGATGAGTCTATGGGTCTCTGCTGTGTGATGAGTCTATGGGTCTCTACCGTGTGGTGATTCTATGGGTCTCTGCTGTGATGAGTCTATGAGTCTCTGCTGTGTGATGAGTCTATGGGTCTCTACTGTGTGATGAGTCTATGGGTGTCTACTGTGTGATGAGTCTATGGGTCTCTGCTGTGTGATGAGTCTATGGGTCTCTGCTGTGTGATGAGTCTATGGGTCTCTACTGTGTGGTGATTCTATGGGTCTCTGCTGTGTGATGAGTCTATGGGTCTCTGCTGCGTGATGAGTCTATGGGTCTCTGCTGTGTGATGAGTCTATGGGTCTCTACTGTGTGATGAGTCTATGGGCCTCTGCTGTGTGATGAGACTATGGGTCTCTATTGTGTGATGAGTCTATGGGTCTCTGCTGTGTGATGAGTCTATGGGTCTCTGCTGTGTGATGAGTCTATGGGTCTCTGCTGTGTGGTGAGTCTATGGGTCTCTGCTGTGTGATGAGTCTATGGGTCTCTGCTGTGTGATGAGTCTATGGGTCTCTGCTGTGTGATGAGTCTATGGGTCTCTGCTGTGTGATGAGTCTATGGGTCTCTGCTGTGTGATGAGTCTATGGGTCTCTGTGTGTGATGAGTCTATGGGTCTCTGCTGTGTGATGAGTCTATGGGTCTCTACTGTGTGATGAGTCTATGGGTGTCTACTGTGTGATGAGTCTATGGGTCTCTGCTGTGTGATGAGTCTATGGGTCTCTGCTGTGTGATGAGTCTATGGGTCTCTACTGTGTGGTGATTCTATGGGTCTCTGCTGTGTGATGAGTCTATGGGTCTCTGCTGCGTGATGAGTCTATGGGTCTCTGCTGTGTGATGAGTCTATGGGTCTCTACTGTGTGATGAGTCTATGGGCCTCTGCTGTGTGATGAGACTATGGGTCTCTATTGTGTGATGAGTCTATGGGTCTCTGCTGTGTGATGAGTCTATGGGTCTCCGCTGTGTGATGAGTCTATGGGTCTCTGCTGTGTGATGAGTCTATGGGTCTCTGCTGTGTGATGAGTCTATGGGTCTCTGCTGTGTGGTGAGTCTATGGGTCTCTGCTGTGTGATGAGTCTATGGGTCTCTGCTGTGTGATGAGTCTATGGGTCTCTGCTGTGTGATGAGTCTATGGGTCTCTGCTGTGTGATGAGTCTATGGGTCTCTGCTGTGTGATGAGTCTATGGGTCTCTGTGTGTGATGAGTCTATGGGTCTCTACTGTGTGATGAGTCTATGGGTCTCTACTGTGTGATGAGTCAATGGGTCTCTACTGTGTGATGAGACTATGGGTCTCTACTGTGTGATGAGTCTATGGGTCTCTGTGTGTGATGAGTCTATGGGTCTCTGTGTGTGATGAGTCTATGGGTCTCTGCTGCGTGATGAGTCTATGGGTCTCTGCTGTGTGATGAGTCTATGGGTCTCTGCTGTGTGATGAGTCTATGGGTCTCTGCTGTGTGATGAGTCTATGGGTCTCTGCTGTGTGATGAGTCTATGGGTCTCTACTGTGTGGTGATTCTATGGGTCTCTGCTGTGTGATGAGTCTATGGGTCTCTGCTGTGTGATGAGTCTATGGGTCTCTACTGTGTGGTGATTATATGGGTCTCTGCTGTGTGATGAGTCTATGGCTCTCTGCTGTGTGATGAGTCTATGGGTCTCTACTGTGTGGTGATTCTATGGGTCTCTGCTGTGTGATGAGTCTATGGGTCTCTGCTGTGTGATGAGTCTATGGGTCTCTGCTGTGTGATGAGTCTATGGGTCTCTACTGTGTGATGATTCTATGGGTCTCTACTGTGTGATGAGTCTATGGGTCTCTGCTGTGTGATGAGTCTATGGGTCTCTGCTGTGTGATGAGTCTATGGGTCTCTACCGTGTGGTGATTCTATGGGTCTCTGCTGTGATGAGTCTATGAGTCTCTGCTGTGTGATGAGTCTATGGGTCTCTAATGTGTGATGAGTCTATGGGTGTCTACTGTGTGATGAGTCTATGGGTCTTTGCTGTGTGATGAGTCTATGGGTCTCTGCTGTGTGATGAGTCTATGGGTCTCTACTGTGTGGTGATTCTATGGGTCTCTGCTGTGTGATGAGTCTATGGGTCTCTGCTGTGTGATGAGTCTATGGGTCTCTGCTGTGTGATGAGTCTATGGGTCTCTACTGTGTGATGAGTCTATGGGCCTCTGCTGTGTGATGAGACTATGGGTCTCTATTGTGTGATGAGTCTATGGGTCTCTGCTGTGTGATGAGTCTATGGGTCTCCGCTGTGTGATGAGTCTATGGGTCTCTGCTGTGTGATGAGTCTATGGGTCTCTGCTGTGTGATGAGTCTATGGGTCTCTGCTGTGTGATGAGTCTATGGGTCTCTGTGTGTGATGAGTCTATGGGTCTCTGCTGTGTGATGAGTCTATGGGTCTCTACTGTGTGATGAGTCAATGGGTCTCTACTGTGTGATGAGACTATGGGTCTCTACTGTGTGATGAGTCTCTGTGTGTGATGAGTCTATGGGTCTCTGTGTGTGATGAGTTTATGGGTCTCTGCTGCGTGATGAGTCTATGGGTCTCTGCTGCGTGATGAGTCTATGGGTCTCTGCTGTGTGATGAGTCTATGGGTCTCTGCTGTGTGATGAGTCTATGGGTCTCTGCTGTGTGATGAGTCTATGGGTCTCTACTGTGTGGTGATTCTATGGGTCTCTGCTGTGTGATGAGTCTATGGGTCTCTGCTGTGTGATGAGTCTATGGATCTCTACTGTGTGGTGATTATATGGGTCTCTGCTGTGTGATGAGTCTATGGGTCTCTGCTGTGTGATGAGTCTATGGGTCTCTACTGTGTGATGATTCTATGGGTCTCTACTGTGTGATGAGTCTATGGGTCTCTGCTGTGTGATGAGTCTATGGGTCTCTACTGTGTGGTGATTTTATGGGTCTCTGCTGTGTGATGAGTCTATGGGACATAAAGCCATAGACTCATCACACAGTAGAGACCCATAGACTCATCCCACTGTAGTAACCCATAGACTCATCACACAGTAGAGACCCGTAGACTCATCACACAGCAGAGACCCATAGACTCATCACACTGTAGAGACCCATAGACTCATCACACACAGAGACCCATAGACTCATCACACAGCAGAGACCCATAGACTAATCACACAGCAGAGACCCATAGACTCATCACACAGTAAAGACCCATAGACTCATCACACAGCAGAGACCCATAGACTCATCACACACAGTGACCCATAGACTCATCACACACAGAGACCCATAGACTCATCACACACAGAGACCCATAGACTCATCCTACAGCAGAGACCCATAGACTCATCCCACAGCAGAGACCCATAGACTCATCACACACAGAGACCCATAGACTCATCACATGGTAGAGACCCATAGACTCATCACACAGCAGAGATCCATAGACTCATCATACAGCAGAGACCCATAGACTCATCACACAGCAGAGAGCCATAGACTCATCACACAGCAGAGACCCATAGACTCATCACACAGCAGAGACCCATAGAATCATCACACAGCAGAGACCCATAGACTCATCACACACAGAGACCCATAGACTCATCACACACAGAGACCCATAGACTCATCACATAGGAGAGACCCATAGACTAATCACACAGCAGAGACCCATAGACTCATCACACACAGAGAACCAAAGACTCATCACACAGCAGAGACCCATAGACTAATCACACAGCAGAGAGCCATAGACTCATCACACAGCAGAGACCCATAGACTCATCACACACAGTGACCCATAGACTCATCACACACAGAGACCCATAGACTCATCACACACAGAGACCCATAGACTCATCACACACAGAGACCCATAGACTCATCACACAGCAAAGACCCATAGAATCACCACACAGTAGAGACCCATAGACTCATCACACAGCAGAGACCCATAGACTCATCACACACAGAGACCCATAGATTCACCACACAGTAGAGACCCATAGACTCATCACACACAGAGACCCATAGACTCATCACACAGCAGAGACCCATAGACTCATCACACAGCAGAGACCCATAGAATCACCACACAGTAGAGACCCATAGACTCATCACACAGCAGAGACCCATAGACTCATCACACACAGAGACCCATAGAATCACCACACAGTAGAGACCCATAGACTCATCACACACAGAGACCCATAGACTCATCACACAGCAGAGACCCATAGACTCATCACACACAGAGACCCATAGACTCCCAACAGAGACGTTGGGGCACACCGGTGGTGCCTCGGCCTCAGCCAGTCAACCCATGGCACCTGCGTCTATCCCGTGATCTCCTGCAAATGAGTCTTCGACACTCTACGTGATCGCCTGAAAGTGCACCTAGCCTGGCACAATCACCGTGGTTGATGTCACCGGTAATTGGTGGTGAACAGCGGTTGTTGTTGGATGAATTACTCCACGTACTTATCAATTTCTGCAGAAGTGATGCTCTCCCCATCCACAGACTCTATTCCTTCTGTAAAACATCATCGGTCAACATCGTTACTATCATTAACATGGGTAGCAACACCATCACCACATCATAACCATTTTATTATCACATCATATTACCATCACCGCCACCATTATCGGATTACATTATATTATCATCACAACCACCATCATCATCACAATCATCACTAGAATCATCACAACCACCACCATCATCATCATCACAATCATCACTAGAATTATCACCATCACCACCACTACCGCCAACATCACCACCGCTCACCTCCGGTGACTCCAAGCAAGGTGCTCCTCTCCACTTGTGCTCTCACCACCTGCACATAAAATAAAATGAGAGTCGACATCTTTTCTCCTAATCTGTCCCTCTACATTAAAAATAGAAAAACATTTAAAAGCTATTTTTTTGTACACATTCCATAATCCACACAGCCATCCTTCTGGGAGTGCGCAATTGAATCAGCATCAGTTTAACACGTTGTAGGCTTTTGCGGCCAATATTATTACTAAAGTTTTTTTTGGGTTAGATCGCGTAGGTATGATCAGTTGCTACTTCAGCCCACCGGTGTGTTGGAGAGTAAATCTACAACATTCACAATTTGAGTGCCGTGAAGTTTCGCTGGTAACTACACCAACCAGCATCATCTGGCGATTTGCCAGAGTAAGTTTGATTCGTTTCTGGAAAATCGCCCGTTGATGCTGGATGTAAAAACCTTGATCATGAATCAGAATCGCCTTCCACTCAGAAGTGCAGAAGTGAATTTCAGTTCAGAAAGCATTCCACAAAGACGCCCCCATCGCCTTCAGACTGTTGGGGCAAGTGCTGTTAGTGGCCAACGCGCTGGAGCGCATAGCTAAAAAGTGTAAATTAATCTATATTAAATCTATATTATTGTAAATTAGTACAAGTGTAAATCAATCTATATTAAATCTATATTATTGCAAATTAGTACAAGTGTACATTGATATAGTATATTAAATTAGTACAAGTGTAAATTAATGTATATTAAATCTATATTTTAAATGAGTACAAGTGTAAATTAATGTATATTAAATCTATATTATTTTAAATTAGTACAAGCGTAAATTAATCTATATTATATTAAATGAGTACAAGTGTAAATTAATGTATATTAAATCTATATTATTTTAAATTAGTACAAGTGTAAATTAATCTATATTAAATCTATATTATTTTAAATTAGTACAAGCGTACATTAATTTATTTTAAATCTGTATTATTTTAAATAAGTACAAGTGTAAATTAATCTATATTAAATCTATATAATTGTAAATTAGTACAAGTGTACATTAATATATTATATTAAATTAGTACAAGTGTAAATTAATGTATATTAAATCTATATTTGAAATTAGTACAAGTGTAAATTAATGTATATTATTTGAAATTAGTACAAGTGTAAATTAATGTATATTAAATCTATATTATTTTTTATTAGTACAAGTGTAAATTAATGTATGTTAAATCTATATTATTTTAAAATAGAACAAGTATAAATTAATCTATATTAAATCTATATTATTTTAAATTAGTACAAGCTTAAATTAATGTATATTAAATCTATATTATTTTAAATTAGTACAAGTGTAAATTAATCTATATTAAATCTATATTATTTTAAATTAGTACAAGCATACATTAATGTATATTAAATCTATATTATTTTAAATTAGTACAAGTGTAAATTAATCTATATTAAATCTATATTATTGTAAATTAGTACAAGTGTACATTAATCTATATTATTTTAAATTAGTACAAGTGTAAATTAATCTATATTAAATCTATATTATTTTAAATTAGTACAAGCGTACATTAATGTATATTAAATCTATATTATTTTAAATTAGTACAAGTGTAAATTAATCTATATTAAATCTATATTATTGTAAATTAGTACAAGTGTACATTAATATATTACATTAAATTAGTACAAGTGTAAATTAATCTATATTAAATCTATATTATTGTAAATTAGTACAAGTGTACATTAATATATATTATATTAAATTAGTGCAAGCGTAAATTAATCTATATTAAATCTACATTAATGTAAATTAGTACAAGTGTACATTAATATATATTATATTAAATGAGTACAAGTGTAAATTAATCTATATTAAATCTATATTATTTTAAATTAGTACAAGCGTACATTAATGTATATTAAATCTATATTATTTTAAATTAGTACAAGTGTAAATTAATCTATATTAAATCTATATTATTGTAAATTAGTACAAGTGTACATTAATATATTACATTAAATTAGTACAAGTGTAAATTAATCTATATTAAATCTATATTATTGTAAATTAGTACAAGTGTACATTAATATATATATTATATTAAATTAGTGCAAGCGTAAATTAATCTATATTAAATCTACATTATTGTAAATTAGTACAAGTGTACATTAATATATATTATATTAAATGAGTACAAGTGTAAATTAATCTATATTAAATCTATATTACTGTAAATTAGTACAAGTGTACATTAATATATTATATTAAATTAGTACAAGCGTAAATTAATCTAAGGCGCTATTTAAAAATGGCGCTGCGTAAGCGCGTGTCACACGCGAGGCGGCTGCGTTGTGTGAGAGAGGAGTCTTCTCGTCTTAGGCTGGGGGGAGAGTCGCAATGGCTCTCTCTCTCTCATTTTTCATCATCGTCGTGACGATCGATGGCTCAGACAGCACCACAGTACGTCGGTGCGTCCACTGCGCATTTTCGTCATTGGTCGTTTCCATTTTTCCTCGACGGCTTGCGGTGCCAAAGTAGCTCAAGTAATGGGCCTACGTCTTTCTGGCACCCATCTGCGATGTCGTGGTCGTCGAAACACTCTCCCCTTAGCTCTTCCTCCCCCCTCTGGAGTTCCTTACAATTATCCTGACCAACAACAACAACACGCTTTTAATTCTTCCTGCTGTCGTCCATCAAATAGTGTCAGTTTCCATCTCACTACTGCCTGCATCATCATCATCATCATCGGGTCGTAGTCTTCTTCTTCTTCTGTGTGGCAACGTTTTTCCTACTTCTACGTCGGCCACTCATTCGGGTGCAGCTTCGATGCAGCAGCAGCAGCAGCCGCAGCCGTACATTCCGAGTGCCCAACATCTTATCTCTGTCAGTCTCTTTCAATGTGCCAGCCCCGCAGGCACACAGGAGAGCTGCACTGAGCACGCGCGCTCTGGAGATGTTCAGTTTGGGCTTCTAGGCGATTTGCTCGCTTCTCCAGACATTATTGAATCCCGCCATTACGCCTTAATGCAGTCTTTGTCCCGTGTCGGGAAACTTCCCAAGTGCACAGATTCCTTTGACGTTCACATTTCCTGCTACTGTCTATGATGAACTTCTTTCTCAACGTCCTCCCTTCAGGACGGCGTCGTCTCTCTCTCTCTTGTCCACGTCAATCCTCAGTCCTGCATCCTCTCCCGACTTAATTCAGCGTCTGAAACACGCGCGACGCTTTCGCGACAGACATCATCCATAACACAGGTTTGTTTGGGTTGGATCGCGCAAATATATAAAGTGTCATATTCTTAGTTCTTTCGGTAAAGTCACGTTGAAGGGAAACAACAAAATAATATTATTTATTTTACTGCAGTCACGAAAGCTTTAAATCAAAATATAAAGTGTCGTTAAACCCGCCACCACTCGTTACGAGTACAACACACCAGTGTGCTGTAATGGTAACGAATTGGCATGTTCTGCTTACGTGACAAACCTTGCTCATTGGCTGTCGGGCGGTGGCGGGTTTACGTTTATATATCAAACGCGATCCAACCCAAAAAACCTGTATCACGGTTTACTTCAGGGTCTGCACACTTTCCCTGCAGTACGACGCAGCTTTCCCTCCACACCTATAAACATGCCGCTATAAATGTCCAAATGATGAGCCGCTTTGTCGAGCTGTCATTTGTGGCCAGGTCGCATTTGGCCAATAAGTGTAAACCTCGGTGGGCTGTGTCTGCCAGGGATGGGGATGGTTGAGTTGAATTTGTCTGTGTCCCAGTGATTTGTTTAGCTCTCTTGCACGTTGCACTCCGATGGTGCGTTTGTGCTGTTTGTTGTTGTTGTTGTAACGTTCTTATCCCGTGCCATCTGTGGCGAAAGAGCTTTATGGCTTATCGGATTCATCCTCCAGTTTCAATACATATTCTTATTCTGAGATCTCTGTCGTCTCTCAGGCTATTCAATAACTCTCCTTGAACCGACACTCGTGCGCCTTCGTCCCGCATGGCGTCTGCCGCACTTTACAGGCACCCTCATTTTCATTGTTGAATTAAAACCGGAAAAGCCATTTCCTATTGTTAACGAAAGTGAGTTGTTTTCCCGCCCGTGTTCTTTCGTGCCGTTGAAGAAAGCGTCAGCCGCTCCAATCGACGCCGAATATTCCTCTCACAAGGAACCCGGCCACGAATGTCAGCCACCCACCCACCCACCCACCTCGGTCTCGCTTAAGACAGACGAGGGAGACGCGGTGGGGGCGTGCGGCCGTCTTCTGGCGGACACTGGAGGGGCAGCCGCCCTGTCCCACAGCTCACGTAGAGGGGCCATCAGCCAGCCTGCACACAGCCAAGACGAAGAATCACCACACAGCCCTCCCCTCCGTGCAGCCTTTACCTAGGACAGACGTGGCAGAATTGACACAAAGATCCCCCAGTATGGCCTTGACAGACCGATGGGGCAAGTGCTGTTATAGCGAGTAGCAGCGCCGCCTGTGAAGGCCGGGACTGTGGCACACCAAGTTGGGGGTGGGGAGTTGGCCCTGAGCGGGAATCGCTCACTCAATCATTCACCTGCTCAACTACTCACCCAGCCGCCCAGTCACTCGCTCACTCCATCACTCACCCACTCACCCAGTCAACTCGCTCACGCACTCAACTACTCACCCACTCAGTCACCCGCTCAACTACTCACACACCCACCCAGTCACTTGCTCACTCAATCGCTCACCTTCTCAACTGCTCACTCACCCACCTACTCAGTCACTCACTCACCAGCGGTCACTCACCTCCTTATCACTCTTCTATAGCTACTACCGTGGTTGCTGTTCCCAGGAACTACGCTCAATGAAGAATTTCTAGTTACTCACTCACTCACCCGCTCGACTACTCACCCACTCAACCACCCACCTACCGAGTCACTCGCTCACCCGCTCAACGACTCACCCACCCACCTACCGAGTCGCTCGCTCACCCGCTCAACGACTCACCCACCCACCTACCGAGTCACTCGCTCACCCGCTCAACGACTCACCCACCCACCTACCGAGTCGCCCGCTCACCCGCTCAACGACTCACCCACCCACCTGCCGAGTCACTCGCTCACCCGCTCAACGACTCACCCACCCACCTACCGAGTCGCCCGCTCACCCGCTCAACGACTCACCCACCCACCTGCCGAGTCACTCGCTCACCCGCTCAACGACTCACCCACCCACCTGCCGAGTCGCCCGCTCACCCGCTCAACGACTCACCCACCCACCTACCGAGTCGCTCGCTCACCCGCTCAACGACTCACCCACCCACCTGCCGAGTCGCTCGCTCACCCGCTCAACGACTCACCCACCTACCGAGTCGCTCGCTCACCCGCTCAACGACTCACCCACCCACCTGCCGAGTCGCTCGCCCACCCGCTCAACGACTCACCCACCCACCTACCGAGTCGCCCGCTCACCCGCTCAACGACTCACCCACCCACCTACCGAGTCGCCCGCTCACCCGCTCAACGACTCACCCACCCACCTGCCGAGTCGCTCGCTCACCCGCTCAACGACTCACCCACCCACCTGCCGAGTCGCTCGCGCACCCGCTCAACGACTCACCCACCCACCTACCGAGTCACTCGCTCACCCACTCAACGACTCACCCACCCACCTACCGAGTCACTCGCTCACCCGCTCAACGACTCACCCACCCACCTACCGAGTCACTCGCTCACCCGCTCAACGACTCACCCACCCACCTGCCGAGTCGCTCGCTCACCCGCTCAACGACTCACCCACCCACCTACAGAGTCGCTCGCTCACCCGCTCAACGACTCACCCACCTACCGAGTCGCTCGCTCACCCGCTCAACGACTCACCCACCCACCTGCCGAGTCGCCCGCTCACCCGCTCAACGACTCACCCACCCACCTGCCGAGTCGCTCGCTCACCCGCTCAACGACTCACCCACCTACCGAGTCGCTCGCTCACCCGCTCAACGACTCACCCACCTACCGAGTCGCTCGCTCACCCGCTCAACGACTCACCCACCTACCGAGTCGCTCGCTCACCCGCTCAACGACTCACCCACCCACCTGCCGAGTCGCTCGCTCACCCGCTCAACGACTCACCCACCCACCTACAGAGTCGCTCGCTCACCCGCTCAACGACTCACCCACCCACCTGCCGAGTCGCCCGCCCACCTGTGGTCACTCGCCTGCGTGTCTCTCTTCTATCGCTACTACTGCCGTGGTCGCTCGCCCATTTCTCCGGTCAGGTCGAGGTCTCTGCCAGAGTGCTGAAATCTCGCCGCGGTGGCTAGATGTTCACTACCTCGCCTGTCACACGGGAGGACGTGGGGTTCCCATCCCGACCCTTACGCCTGCTGTATATTTGGAGTTTGCATCTCTCTCTCTCTCGCTCTTTCCCTGTGGTCACGTGGGTTTTTCTCCAGGCAACATCACCCGCTCATCGTGTTTGGCTGCTATAAATGTCCACGAAATAAGCTATCATTTGCGGCCAGGTCGCTGCTGAAAAGAACCTATATAGCTCAGTGGGCCCTACCTGGTAAAATAAAATTAGCTCGTAGTTTTAGTTAAGTTTGTTTGGTCCAATCTTTTTTTTTAATCATCATCATTGTCGCCATCATCATTTACTGTCATCATCGTCGTCAGAATCTTTATTTTTCCTGGAAAAATCATTTACTGTCATCATCGTCGTCAGAATCTTTATTTTTCCTGGAAAAATAAAGATTCTGACGACGATGATGACAGTAAATGGAAAAAGTAATCACCATCCAGATAGTTTACCTGATGCCGGGTTTCTGAAAAGATAAGAGACGGAATTCCTATGAATGGATTCCGGCTCAATTGGAACCTGGATTTGAGAAAAACAAACACCACCGTTAACATCGCATCATCGACACCATCATGAACATGATATCATCGCTATCATGATCATCAATATTATTAACACACAGACATTTTCACACCGTGATTCTCAATAAAAAGTTGAGACTCACCCACCCACTCACCCACCTACCTGCTCGCTCTCCCGCCCACCCACCCGCTCACCCACTAACTCACTCACCCACCCACTCACCCGCCCACTCATTCACCCACCCACCTAATCGCTCACACACCCATCCACCCACCCACTCACTCACCCACCCACCCACCCACTCACCCGCCCACTCATTCACCCACCCACCTACTCGCTGACACACCCACCCACTCACCCGCCCACTCATTCACCCACCCACCTACTCGCTCACCCACCCACTAACTCGCTCACCCACCCACCCACTCACCCGCCCACTCATTCACCCACCCACCTAATCGCTCACACACCCATCCACCCACCCACTCACTCACTCACCCACCCACCCACTCACCCGCCCACTCATTCACCCACCCACCTACTCGCTGACACACCCACCCACTCACCCGCCCACTCATTCACCCACCCACCTACTCGCTCACCCACCCACTAACTCGCTCACCCACCCACCCACTCACCCGCCCACTCATTCTACCACCCACCCACCCACCCGCTCACCCACCCACCCACCGGCTCACTACTACGGTGACGGCGTTACTCACAAACGGCTGCAGCGCGCGTTGGGGCCTGTCCACCTGGGCCCTCATCTCGTCCTGCGGCATCTGGATGACGTCGTCGATGAAGAGGCGGCGGCGGCGTCGTCGATAGGGGGGGCGGGCGACCCCCTGAGGGCTGAGGGGGGCCAGGTGGAAGGGGCTGTCCATGCTGTCATCCTACAGGCGGCAGAGACGCGGAGCACGCAGTACAGTAAAGAAGGTCGCTTCTCTTTCAGAAGCGACCTGGCCATCACAAATGTTAGCCGAACCAAGTGGCCTTTCATCATCTACGTGGAAATTTACAGCGGCCAAATACTCTAAAACACGCGACGTTGATTCTAAATGCGGAGAGAAACAACGGAAGACGCGGTAAGAAATCCACGCAACCACGGGGAGAGAGAGCGAGAGACATGCAAACTCTAAATATACACGTGTGCGGTGTGTGTACACGTGTGTGTACGTGTTTATACACGTGTGTGTGGTGTGTGTACACGTGTGTACACGTGTGTGTGGTGTGTGTACACGTGTGTACACGTGTGTGTACACGTGTGTGCGGTGTGTGTACACGTGTGTGTGGTGTGTGTACATGTGTGTATACACGTGTGTGCGGTGTGTGTACATGTGAGTGTACACGTGTGTGTGGTGTGTGTACACGTGTGGATACACGTGTGTGTGGTGTGTGTACACGTGTGTACACGTGTGTGTACACGTGTGTGTGGTGTGTGCACACGTGTGTGTACACGTGTGTGTGTTACTACACGTGTGTGTGTGTACACGTGTGTGTGTGTGAGCTCCTCCGGCAGTCAGAGCTGTGTTGGCTGGGTCATGTAGCCCGCATGCCCAACCACCGCATGGCTAAACAGCTTTTGTTCGGCCGGATCGAGGGGGCTAAACGGGCGCGGCACAGGCTAGAGAAGAGATGGAGTGATGTGGTACAGGAGGACGTGGAGCTGAGTGGATTTGCCGATGACTGGTACCAGCGGTGTCAAGATCGGCCTCTGTGGAGGAGGCTCGTGAAGGACGCTACTGCGCAGTTGGAGGCAGTCGCCCTCCAACAACAACGGAGGGCGGAGGAGCGACGCTCACAACAACGAGCGGAGCGCCGGGTGGCTAAAGCACAGCAGGTTGGCACAGTAGGGGGCACAGCTGGTGCACCAGCCAGTCATCTCAGTCAGTCGACCCGTGGCACCTGGGTCTGCCCCGTGACCTCCTGCCCGCAGGCGTTCGACACTTCACGTGGCCTCAAGGTACACATGGCCTGGCACAAGCGTTGTGGTGACATCACCGCCACTTAGTGGCGAATGGCGGTTGTTGTTGTGTACACGTGTGTGTGTACACGTGTGTGTGTGTGTGTATGTATATACGTGTGTGTGTGTCTGATGTGTGTACCGCTCTATGAAGAGGTGAGGGGGGGCTTGGCATGGCTGGAGCTACAGCTCCAGGGAGTGTGACCTCTGTAAATTCACGAGCAAATGTCTCAAACAAAGCATTCAGAATCAAAAATCAAACTAAGCATTCACAATCAAGAATAAAGATTGATTGATCAAGTCAATCGATCAATCAATCTTTATTTTCCGTGCCAATATCATTCAAGTGGGCATCGGTGCGCTTTACAGCGGAACGGGAATAATGCAGGGGGCACAGAGCAATGGGAATGAGAAAATTAACCAATCACACCCTCAGCAGCAAACACCAACTGAGCAACTCCGATTCGGGCGGTGCGCTATGTACGGTGCGAAAGAAATCCACCGTACGTACGTACTTACAAAGCGAATTACAATCACGCGCACGCAAAAAGTGTCCCCGCGTCCCTGTGTGTGTCTCACGCAGGGCGTCAGGAGAAGCGACGAGTGACGCAGCTAGGATATCTTCGACCGTACGCCTCTTCGTAACGTCCACGTCGGTCTCCAGTGAAATCCTGGAAAGACAGAGACGCACGCAGAGCGGCTGAGTGAGAGAGTGCGTCAGTGGGACAGTGGGTGTGTGAGTGAGTGGGTGAGTGAGTGTGCGAATGATTGGGTGAATGTGCGAGTGAGTGTGCGAGTGGGTGAGTGGGTGAGTGGCTCAATGAAAGGGTGTGTGAGTGTATCAGTGAGTAGGTATGTGAGTGATTGGGAGAGTGCGTAAGTGATTGGGTGTGTGAGCGAGTGGGTGAGTGGGTGAGTGGGTGAGTGTGCGAGTGAGAGGAGAGGTGAGTGAGTGGGTGAGTAAGTGCATGAGTAGGTGCGTAAGTGATTGGGTGAGCGTGTGAACGAGTGGGTGAGTGGGACAGTGGGTGAGTGGGTGTGCGAGTGAGTGGGTGCTTGAGTGAGTGGGAGTGGGTATGTTAGTGGGACAGTGGGTGAGTAAGCGTGCGAGGGTGCATGAGTTAGTGGGAGTGGGTAGGTGGGTGAGTGAGTGGGTGAGTGAGTGAGTGGGTGAGTGTGTGAGTGGGTGTGCGAGTGAGGGAGTGAGTGAGTGGGTAGGTAGGTGAGTGTGGGGAGTGGTGGTGAAGCAGTTAGCGCACTGCGCCACAAACCTGGCCACCCGGGTTCGATTCCCGCTAATGGCAAACACCGGTGACGATTATCTGAACTGGTTCAGGGCCTCCCCTATGTCGACTCAGCCTCAAATGAGTACCTGGTGCGATGTGTAAACATCGTCACTAGGGAGACAAAGGCGGCCGGGCGTGGTGTTGGCCACCCACCCCCTCTTGTGCCGTGCCGGCCTTTATAGGTGCTCGCTAGCAGCACTTGCCCCTACAGTCTGTTAAGGCTACACGGGGGATCTTTGTCTCTGGGCGAGTGAGTGCCGGCCATTGTGTGGCTTCCGTGCCCACCTGGATGGATGTTGAGTGACGCCAGAATCTTCAAATGTTACATCCTTGCGTAAGTCCTCCTCATCCTCCTCCACCACAGCTACCAGATCATGATCATCGTCAATATCATCAATGTAAGTCATCAGCGTCATCATCATCATCAGCAGCAGCGTCATTCATAAAGCAGAATCAGTATAATTATTCGCCACATCATCAAGGATGTTTGTGTGTGCAGGCGCAGAGAGGAGTTGACACACGAGGGATGGATGACACACAACACAAACACCACACACATACATTCACAACACAGATATAATACATGCACACATCCCACACAATATACATGTACCACACCTTCACACACATATACCACACACACACACATATATACAGACATACACACAACACTCACAACACAAACACCACACACACAACACAAATATAACACGCACAACACAAACACCACACACAAACATTGACAACGCCCACCACTGCCATATGTATGTTGAACTTCTTTTGCACCGTACACAGCCAAACGTGCTAATCTGAGGTGCGGGGGAAAGACAACAAACTATGGGTCTCTATGTGAGTCTGTGGGTCTCTATGTGAGTCTATGGGTCTCTGTGTGATGAGTCTATGGGTCTCTATGTGAGTCTGTGGGTCTCTGTGTGTGAAGTCTATGGGTCTCTGTGTAATGAGTCTATGGGTCTCTGTGTAATGAGTCAATGGGTCTCTGTGTGATGAGTCTATGGGTCTCTATGTGAGTCTGTGTGTCTCTATGTGAGTCTATGTGTCTCTGTGTAATGAGTTTATGTGTCTCTGTGTGATGAGTCTATGGGTCTCTATGTGAGTCTATGGGCCTCTATGTGAGTCTATGGGTCTCTGTGTGATGAGTCTATGGGTCTCTGTGTAATGAGTCTATGGGTCTCTATGTGAGTCTATGTGTCTCTATGTGAGTCTATGTGTCTCTGTGTGATGAGTCTATGGGTCTCTGTGTGATGAGTCTATGGGTCTCTATGTGAGTCTATGGGTCTCTGTGTAATGAGTCTATGTGTCTCTATGTGATGAGTCTATGTGTCTCTATGTGAGTCTATGGGTCTCTGTGTGAGTATATGTGTCTCTATGTGATGAGTCTATGTGTCTCTATGTGATGAGTCTATGGGTCTCTGTGTGATGAGTCTATGGGTCTCTATGTGAGTCTATGGGTCTCTGTGTGATGAGTCTATGGGTCTCTATGTGAGTCTATGGGTCTCTGTGTGGTGATTCTATGGGTCTCTGTGTGGTGAGTCTATGGGTCTCTGTGTAATGAGTCTATGGGTCTCTGTGTAATGAGTCTCTGGGTCTCTGTGTAATTAGTCTATGGGTCTCTATGTGAGTCTATGGGTCTCTGTGTGATGAGTCTATGGGTCTCTGTGTGATGAGTCTATGGGTCTCTATGTGAGTCTATGGGTCTCTGTGTGGTAAGTCTATGGGTCTCTGTGTGATGAGTCTATGGGTCTCTGTGTGATGAGTCTATGGGTCTCTGTGTAATGAGTCTATGGGTCTCTGTGTATGAGTCTATGGGTCTCTATGTGAGTCTATGGGTCTCTGTGTGATGAGTCTATGGGTCTCTATGTGAGTCTATGGGTCTCTGTGTGGTGAGTCTATGGGTCTTTGTGTGGTGAGTCAATGGGTCTCTGTGTGGTGAGTCTATGGGTCTCTGTGTAATGAGTCTATGGGTCTCTGTGTAATGAGTCTATGGGTCTCTGTGTAATGAGTCTATGGGTCTCTATGTGAGTCTATGGGTCTCTGTGTAATGAGTCTATGGGTCTCTGTGTGATGAGTCTATGGGTCTATATGTGAGTCTATGGGTTTCTGTGTGGTAAGTCTATGGGTCTCTGTGTGATGAGTCTATGTGTCTCTGTGTGATGAGTCTATGGGTCTCTGTGTAATGAGTCTATGGGTCTCTGTGTAATGAGTCTATGGGTCTCTATGTGAGTCTATGGGTATCTGTGTAATGAGTCTATGGGTCTCTGTGTGATGAGTCTATGGGTCTCTGTGTGATGAGTCTATGGGTCTCTATGTGAGTCTATGGGTCTCTGTGTGATGAGTTTATGTGTCTCTGTGTGATGAGTCTATGGGTCTCTATGTGAGTCTATGGGTCTCTGTGTAATGAGTCTATGGGTCTCTATGTGAGTCTATGGGTCTCTGTGTATTGAGTCTATGGGTCTCTGTGTGATGAGTCTATGGGTCTCTGTGTGATGAGTCTATGGGTCTCTATGTGAGTCTATGGGTCTCTGTGTGATGAGTCTATGTGTCTCTGTGTAATGAGTCTATGGGTCTCTATGTGAGTCTATGGGTCTCTGTGTAATGAGTCTATGGGTCTCTGTGTGATGAGTCTATGGGTCTCTGTGTAATGAGTCTATGGGTCTCTGTGTGATGAGTCTCTGGGTCTCTGTGTGGTGAGTCTATGTGTCTCTGTGTGGTGAGTCTATGTGTCTCTGTGTGGTGAGTCTATGTGTCTCTGTGTGGTGAGTCTATGTGTCTCTGTGTGATGAGTCTATGTGTCTCTGTGTAATGAATCTATGTGTCTCTGTATGATGAGTCTATGGGTCTCTGTGTGATGAGTCTATGGGTCTCAATGTGAGTCTATGGGTCTCTGTGTGATGAGTTTATGTGTCTCTGTGTGATGAGTCTATGGGTCTCTGTGTAATGAGTCTATGCGTCTCTGTGTGATGAGTCTATGGGTCTCTGTGTGATGAGTCTATGGGTCTCTATGTGAGTCTATGGGTCTCTGTGTAATGAGTCTATGGGTCTCTGTGTGATGAGTCTATGGGTCTCTGTGTGGTGAGTCTATGTGTCTCTGTGTGGTGAGACTATGTGTCTCTGTGTGGTGAGTCTATGTGTCTCTGTGTGATGAGTCTATGTGTCTCTGTGTGATGAGTCCATGTGTCTCTGTGTGAATAGTCTATGGGTCTCTGTGTGATGAGTCTATGTGTCTCTGTGTGAATAGTCTATGGTCTCTGTGTGAGTCTATGCGTCTCTGTGTGATGAGTCTATGTGTCTCTGTGTGATGAGTCTATGTGTCTCTGTGTGATGAGTCTATGTGTCTCTGTGTGAATAGTCTATAGGTCTCTGTGTGATGAGTCTATATGTCTCTGTGTGAATAGTCTATGGTCTCTGTGTATGTTAAACTTCATTTGCACCGTACATAGCCAACCGTGCCTATTGGAGGTGCAGGGAAGCCACTTTGACCAACATCACCGCCAACCACCACCACCATCAGCATCACCACCATCAGCAGCGTTATCTAAGAGTTCTCGCCTAACGAGTATCCAGACGGGTTCCCACACGGTCGGTACCTTCGTGCGGAGCGAGAGGAGAGAGCAGGTGGGGAGATAGGAGGTGTTGAATCTCTTGCGGGGACAGCTCAGGCAGGTCCGCTTGCTCTGCAAACTGCAACGAAAAACAAATTGAATATGGCGATGCCCCTTAACCATTCCCTACATTTATAGAGCCCCTGAGCTCAAGGTGCTTGTACATCAGGGACGTGCGGGCAGGGGAGGCAGAGCCTCATCTGATCTGTGTTATAAATGTCATTTCTGTACGATTCCAATCATTTTTATGGTCAAAATCGCCAAATTTGCGGAGGAAGAGACGAGAGGTGAGGCAGCGACGAGCTCAGCCTCCCCTCTGATTGTGCAACCCCTCAGTAACTGGATGGAGTGTGGGCAATAAGCACGTGCCTGTTACTGTCTCTCTGTATGTCACCAATGTAATGTTTGTAGACCCCTTCATTTCACGTCCTCGCCTTCCATACTCCAGGTATATTATCTCACGTATTATGTGTATAAAGATATTTAGGCTTGCTGTTCTCGTCATGAAACTGCATTGAGAAAGCACCAGGGGAGGCAGCGATCCCATCTGCCTCACCGAGGGGGACGTGCCTAACACGCCCCCCTCAGTGAGGCCACGCCCCCCACAGTGAAGCCACGCCCCCCCCCTCAGTGTGTGAATCTGGCTCTGACACTAGCCAGTGCCTCCCCAGCCATCGACCTCACCGCACGTAGGTATGTTGAACTTCTTTCGCACCGGACGTAGCCAATCGTGATAACTGGAGGTGCGGGGGAAGGACTGCAAACTAAACACAGAAGGCAGTTCTCAACAAATGAGTTTTCAATCGAGATTTGTGCTATGATAGGCCAGTACAGCACCTTTGTCTCCCCAGTGGCGATGTTTACTACACACCGCACCAGGTACTCGTATGAAGCTGAGTCGACCGAGGAAAGGCCCAGGACGGGTTCAGGTCATCGTCAGTGGTGCGGTTGGCCGTGAGCGGGAATCAAACTCGGGTCGCCGGGTTCGTAGCGCAGTGTGCTAACTGCTACACCGCCGCTCACACACGCAGACGCACACACACACACACACGTGGTGTTGACAAATGTGTTGAGTTTCAAGTAGCAAATGATAATTTTATAAACTTACCATGCCTGCCTCTGGCACCAGAGACATTACATCTCTCATTGTAAATGGTGGCTCTGCACACGCACAAAGACAAAGATCCCCCGCGTATAGACTTAGCAGACTGTAGGGGCAAGTGCTGTTAGCAGGTAGCAGCTATGAAGGCCGGTACGGCACACGAGGGGGTGGGTGGCCAACACCACGCCCGGGAGCCTCTCTCCCCAGCGACGATGTTTACCACACACCGCTACACCCGGTACTCAATTGAGGCTGAGTCGACTTAGGAGAGGCCTACGACCAGTTCACATAATCGTCACACAAATAACACACATACACACATGCATGTTCAAAGTGACTTCCATGATTAACATTCATGCACAATGCATGGATTTGAACAAAAAATATTTTATCAACGTCTTTTTTTCATAATTACAGGCATCATCTTTGAACATTCATCAATTATGATCTGTTGTCTCAATTCATCGATGGGCTCTTGGTCGAGTTTTGTGAGACTTGGTTCAAATGTGGCAGTGGAAAAACACCACCCAAACCACACTGGCTTTGTTCGAATGTGGCAGTGGAAAAACACTACCCGTACTGTGTTGGCTTAGCTCACATGTGGCAGTGGAAATATACCACCCATACCATGCTGGCTTGGCTCGGATGTGGCAGTGGAAAAACACCACCTGTACTGCGCTGGCTTGGCTCGGATTTGGCAGTGGAAAAACACCACCTGTCCCGCACTGGCTTGGCTCAGATGAGGCAGTGGAAAAACACCACCTGTACCGCACTGGCTTGGCTCAGATGAGGCAGTGGAAAAAACACCACCAGTACTGCGCTGGCTTGGCTCAGATTGTAGCAGTGAAAACTGATGTATTGGCAGCATTAACGCAGGCTAATGTGTTGGTGCATCTTGCATTTACCAGGCGATAGAGGAGAGCCAGATGGAGGTAGGGGACTCAACACATCTGCTTGAAACTGTGGGCAAAATCAAAGATCCCCTGTGTAGTCAACGCAAACGATGGGGCAAGTGCTGTTATCGAACTCCTGTGAAGGCCGGCACGACCCACACAGGCACTGCAGACGAGGGGGTGGGTGGTCAGCACCACGCCCTCGTGGTGATGTTTACACACCGCAACAGATGCTCGTTTTAGGCTGAGTCGACCTAGGGGTGGCCCGGGACCAGTTCGGATAATCGCTATCGCTGGTGTGACCCTGAGCGGGAATCGAAATTGGGTCTCTTGCTGGGTTCGTAGCGCAGCGTTGCTAACCGCACCATTCGCCACCAAGTGGCGGTGATGTCACCACAGCGCTTGTGCCAGGCTATGTGCACTTTGGCACACACAACCAAACAACCGCAGCCACCATTAGTCACTAAATTACATAACTAAGCCACTTTGTGCCAGGCTAGGTGCACGATGATAAAGACAAAGATCTCCCGTATAGCCCTAACATACTCTTTAGGCAAGTGCTGTTAGCTAGCGCCTTTGAAGGCTGGCACGGCACACGAGGGGGTGGGTGGCCAGCACCACGCCCGACCGCCTTTGTCTCCCCAGTGGCGATGTTTACTGCACTCTACACCAGGTACTCATTTGAGGCTGAGTCGACCTAGGGGAGGCCCAGGACCGGTTCAGACAATCGTCACCGGCGTCAGTCGTGAGCGGGAATCGAACCCGGGGTGGCCGTGTTCGTACTGCAGCGTGCTAACCGCTACGCTGGCGCTCCCCACACTGACACACACGCACGCAAACGCACGCGGGTACCTCGATTGGGTGGAGAGTTTCTGAGGCTGGGGATTGGAAGGTCATGACCCCGAACCAGGGGTCAGCAGCTCCCAGGGTCTCTTCCATGATGGCCAGCTGATCCGGAAGCGTCAGCCTCAGTCTAGCAGAGACAACGCGATGTTGATGGTTGACCTCATGGTGGTGATGGTGGTAATGTTGGAGATGGTAGTAATGGTCGTAGTGATGCTGGTTGTGATGGTGAAGATGGTGGTGATGATGGCGGTGGTGATGATTATGACGGCGGTGATGGTGGAGACGGTAATGATAGTAGTGGTAGTCGTGGCGTGATGGTGAGGATGGTGGTGACGATGGTAGTGATGATGGTGAAGATGGTGGTGACGATGGCAGTATTATGTGGTGGTGCTGCTGATGCCACTGCTTCTGGTGATGCGGCTGATGATGGATGCTGCTTCTGCTGCTGATGATTCTGCTGCTGCTGCTGATGATTCTGATGCTGCTGCTGCTGATGATTCTGATGCTGCTGCTGCTGCTGATGATTCTGATGCTGCTGCTGATGATTCTGATGCTGCTGCTGCTGCTGATGATTCTGATGCTGCTGCTGCTGTCACCTCTCTGTCTCCTCCATGTCTATGCGAGCCACCGTCGCCGCTCTGTGCAACTTCTCCAGACATGAGCGCACGTCATCTGAGGGGGCGACACGCGTGGACGCAATGTGGCGCCACCTCGTCATCACCGTGCCACCTCCTCACCGCGCCACCTCATCGCGCCACCTCATCACCGCGCCACCTCCGTGTGCCCACCCCCGTGCGTCTGGAGACGCGGGCGCGCCAGACGCACGATGGTCTCCTTCCGTGTGTCCCTGTACTTGTCCCCGTGTCTCCACTATTTGTCCGCGTGTCCTTTCCACGTCCCACTCGCCCCCCCCCCCCCCCCCCCCCGTGTTCCCGATGTCTCACAATGTCCCACATTACACATCCCGTGGTCTTCACATGCCCCTCTGTCTCCCTATACCTCCCTGTGTGTCTCTGTGCCCCACCCCCGTGTCTCCCTATACCTCACTGTGTCTCCCCATGTCTCCCCGTGTTTCTCCGTGTCTCCCCGTGTCTCCCCGTATCTCCCCGTATCTCCCTGTGTCTCCCCGTATCTCCCCGTATCTCCCCATGTCTCCCCGTGTCTCCCCGTGTCTCCCTGTGTCTCCCCGTATCTCCCCGTATCTCCCCATGTCTCCCCGTGTCTCCCCGTGTCTCCCTGTGTCTCCCCGTATCTCCCCGTATCTCCCCATGTCTCCCCGTGTCTCCCCGTGTCTCCCTGTGTCTCTCCGTGTCTCCCCGTGTCTCCCCGTGTCTCCCTGTGTCTCCCCGTATCTCCCCGTGTCTCCCCGTATCTCCCCATGTCTCCCCGTGTCTCCCCGTATCTCCCCATGTCTCCCCGTGTCTCCCCGTATCTCCCCATGTCTCCGCTTGTCCCCCCCATATCTCCCCATGTCTCCCCGTGTCTCCCCGTATCTCTCCCATGTCTCCGCTTGTCCCCCCCCGTATCTCCCCGTGTCTCCCCATGCCTCCCCGTGTCTCCCCGCATCTCCCCGTGTCTCCGCTTGTCCCCCCGTGTCTCGCCATGCCTCCCCGTGTCTCCCCGCATCTCCCCGTGTCTCCCCATGTCTCCCCGTGTCTCCCCGTATCTCCCCGTGTCTCCGCTTGTCCCCCCCGCGTCTCCCCGTGTCTCCGCTTGTCCCCCCGTGTCTCCCCATGCCTCCCCGTGTCTCCCCGCATCTCCCCGTGTCTCCCCATGTCTCCCCGCATCTCCCCATGTCTCCCCGTCTCTCCCCGCATCTCCCCGTGTCTCCGCTTGTCCCCCCCCGTGTCTCCCCGTGTCTCCGCTTGTCCCCCCCCGTGTCTCCCCGTGTCTCCGCTTGTCCCCCCGTGCGTCACCCGCCCGCCCCCGGTGCGTCTGTCTCACCGATGAGGTAGCTGCTCTGGCGAGAGAAAACGCACGCCAGGCCATACATGAGCTGAGCTGAGAGGTAGAGGGAGAACCGCCGCAGCTCACCCTTCTCCTTCACTCGCAGCATCACGTGATCCAGAACATCGTGACTGCAACATCATCATCATCATCACCACACAAACCATCAACACCATCATCACACTCACCATCATCAAAAACATCATCACACACACACCATCAACATCATCATCACAAACACCATCATCAACGTCATCACACACACCATCATCGTCATCACACACACCATCATCATCATCACACATACACCATCAGCATCATCACACACACCTTCATCACACATACACCATCGTCATCATCACACACACCATCATCACACATACACCATCAGCATTATCACACACACCATCATCACACATACACCATCAGCATTATCACACACACCATCATCACACATACACCATCAGCATTATCACACACACCTTCATCACACATACACCATCATCATCATCACACACACCATCATCACACATACACCATCAGCATTATCACACACACCATCATCACACATACACCATCAGCATTATCACACACACTATCATCACACATACACCATCAGCATTATCACACACACCTTCATCACACATACACCATCATCATCACACACACCATCATCACACATACACCATCTGCATTATCACACACACCATCATCACACATACACCATCAGCATTATCACACACACCATCATCACACACACACCATCAGCATTATCACACACACCATCATCACACATACAATATCAGCATTATCACACACACCATCATCACACATACACCATCAGCATTATCACACACACCATCATCACACATACACCATCAGCATTATCACACACACACCATCATCACACATACACCATCAGCATTATCACACACACCATCATCATCACACATACACCATCAGCATTATCACACACACCATCATCACACATACACCATCAGCATTATCACACACACCATCATCACACATACACCATCAGCATTATCACAGACACCATCATCACACATACACCATCAGCATTATCACACACACCGTCAACATCATCATCACAAACACCATCATCACACACGCACCGTCAACATCATCATCATCACAAACACCATCATCAACGTCATCACACACACCATCAGCATTACTCTCCAACACATACACATCACTGGATGGCCAGGCTCTCACCAGGACGCGTGGACGTTCACGACCAGCAATTCCCTCCTCGAGAGCTTCACTGCTTTGGTGGCGGCCAACCTGAAGCAATAACAACACAACGGTACGGTCCATTCTCCTATAAACGCGTCTTGTTTTCAATTTGCAATGACGAGAATGGTGAAGTATGGTCAACCAACACCCCCCCCCCCCACTCTCTACCAATCCGCAATGACCAGAGTGGTGAAGTATGGTCAACCATCACCCCCCCCCCCCCCACTCTCTACCAATCCGCAATGACCAGAGTGGTGAAGTATTGTCAACCAACACCCCCCCCGACTCTCTACCAATCCACAATGACCAGAGTGGTGAAGTATGGTCAACCATCACCCCCACTCTCTACCAATCCGCATTGACCGGAGTGGTGAAGTATGGTCAACCATCACCCCCCCCCTACCAATCCGCATTGACCAGAGTGGTGAAGTATGGTCAACCATCACCCCCCCCTACCAATCCGCAATGACCAGAGTGGTGAAGTATGGTCAACCATCACCCCCCCCCCACTCTCTACCAATCCGCATTGACCAGAGTGGTGAAGTATGGTCAACCAACACCCCCCCCCCACTCTCTACCAATCCGCAATGACCAGAGTGGTGAAGCATGGTCAACCATCACCCCCCCCCCCACTCTCTACCAATCCGCATTGACCAGAGTGGTGAAGTATGGTCAACCATCACCCCCCCCCTCTCTACCAATCCGCATTGACCAGAGTGGTGAAGTATGGTCGACCATCACCCCCCTCTCTACCAATCCGCATTGACCAGAGTGGTGAAGTATGGTCAACCATCACCCCCCCCCCCCCACTCTCTACCAATCCGCATTGACCGGAGTGGTGAAGTATGGTCAACCATCACCCCCCCCTACCAATCCGCATTGACCGGAGTGGTGAAGTATGGTCAACCATCACCCCCCCCCTACCAATCCGCATTGACCAGAGTGGTGAAGTATGGTCAACCATCACCCCCCCTACCAATCCGCAATGACCAGAGTGGTGAAGTATGGTCAACCAATACCCCCCCCCACTCTCTACCAATCCGCATTGACCAGAGTGGTGAAGTATGGTCAACCATCACCCCCCCTCTCTACCAATCCGCATTGACCAGAGTGGTGAAGTATGGTCAACCATCACCCCCCCCTCTCTACCAATCCGCATTGACCAGAGTGGTGAAGTATGGTCGACCATCACCCCCCCCCCACTCTCTACCAATCCGCATTGACCAGAGTGGTGAAGTATGGTCAACCATCACCCCCCCCCCCCTACCAATCCGCATTGACCAGAGTGGTGAAGTATGGTCAACCATCACCCCCCCTACCAATCCGCAATGACCAGAGTGGTGAAGTATGGTCAACCAATACCCCCCCCCCACTCTCTACCAATCCGCATTGACCAGAGTGGTGAAGTATGGTCAACCATCACCCCCCCCCCCGTACTTTGATAACAAAAATCGATCAGTTAATAAATGTATTTATAAAAATGCGATAATGTATTGACTATTGTTTTGTACAATAATGATAATTTAATAGCTTGGTGCGAGTTATAAATTGTAATACTGTATAGGTTACGTGATATTAACTTTATATATAATAAACTGTGAGGTGAATGTTTGTTGATTGTTACCTGAGGGAAATTTTTCTAAAAAAATTAACGATATCAAATTCTCTGCTCACGAATGTTTGAGTAGTTAATAGTTGTGATAACATTAGGAATGGATACGAACATTGGTAACTTTATAAATGAATACATTAGCACGATGTATTATAAATCTATAAGTGATTAATTATTCATTATAGACCGTACTACTGTGCAAGTGTATCGTTATTAATACATTCTGTATATCATTTGTATGATTATATTATACAACTGTTTAATTGAAGGGTTATACTGGTGCTAATTAAATGATAAACGCAGAGATAATGCAAATGTATAATTGTATAATAGCAAGACTTTACTCGTTAACGTAAATATTCAACTATTCACTTAAATTTTACAAATAAACTCAACAAATATGAACAGCGATAACGTTTTAAATATACAAGGTACATTTTAACACGCGTAATATCAATACATTAATAACGTTTATAAAGTGAGGTAATATTAATACATTAATAACGTGACGTAATATTAATAACATTAATAACGTGAGGTAATATTAATAGATTAATAACATTAATAACGTGAAGTAATATGAATACATTAATAACATTTATAACGTGAGGTAATATTAATACATTAATAACGTGAGGTAATATGAATACATTAATAACATTAATAACGTGAGGTAATATTAATGCATTAATAACGTGAAGCAATATTAATAACATTAATAACGTGAGGTAATATTAATAGATTAATAACATTAATAACGTGAAGTAATATGAATACATTAATAACATTTATAACGTGAGGCAATATTAATACATTAATAACGTGAGATAATATGAATACATTAATAATATTAATAACGTGAGGTAATATTAATACATTAATAACGTGAAGTAATATTAATAACATTAATAACGTGAGGTAATATTAATAGATTAATAACATGAATGACGTCAAGTAATATGAATACATTAATAACATTTACAACGTGAGGTAATATTAATACATTAATAACGTGAGGTAATATGAATACATTAATAACATTAATAACGTGAGGTAATATTAATACATTAATAACGTGAAGTAATATTAATAACATTAATAACGTGAGGTAATATTAATAGATTAATAACATTAATAACGTGAATATGAATACATTAATAACATTTATAACGTGAGGTAATATTAATACATTAATAACGTGAGGTAATATGAATACATTAATAACATTAATAACGTGAGGTAATATTAATACATTAATAACGTGAGGTACTATTAATAAATTAATACCATTTATAACGTGAGGTAATATTAATAACTATGTAATGTAGAATAACAAATTAATATCATCATTGCGCTCTTCATCAATTGATTGACAGGTTAATGTATTTACAATATTTGAAAAATGTTTATCAATTATAATTAGTCGCTATCTTGTCGCTATCAGCAAGTTCATTAAAATTGTGAGGTAAAAGTTTTGATTTAAAGCTTTCGTGACTGCAGTAATTCATATTCTTAGTTCTTTCGGTAAAGTCACGTTGAAGGGAAACAACAAATATAGGTAAATATAGGTAAAAGTTTGTTTTACCAAATCGTCGCAAACTTTCCTCGCCTCCTCAACACCTCTGGGTAATAGAACATGTTTGATTTTCCCTCAAAATCGCTCTTAGTTAATACAAATAATTATCTCTCGATGTTTAGCGCCCTTTAAAAGAGAAAGACTTTACATCTGTGGCCACGCCAACGCTTCCACCGCTCTGCACTGGCCAACCTAGCTTTAACATAATATATGCGGTCGCCGCGATTACGTCACGGGGCACTCATCTATTTAACATAATGTGGTCGCCGCGATATACGTCACGGGGCACTCATCTATTTAACATAATGTGGTCGCCGCGATTACGTCACGGGGCACTCCTCTATTTAACATAATATATGCGGTCACCGCGATTACGTCACGGAGCACTCCTCTCTTTAACATAATATATGCGGTCGCCGCGTTCACGTCACGGGGCACTCATCTATTTAACATAATATATGCGGTCGCCGCGATAACGTCAGATCGCATGAACATTAACGTAGTCTATGGGTCCAAACGCTTTGGTTCTATTCGGTAAAGTCACGTATAAGTATAAAACAACAAAATATAATAAAAAAAATTCACGACGTTTCGGCCACAACGCAAGCGGCCTTCACCAGGTGAAGGGACCAGACTGTCTCGAGGAGAGCGCTGGAGTGAAACACAGCCAAGCTCAGACCGCGACCTTTAAGCTGTGTGAGAGGAATCAAGGTGCCTTGACAAAGGAATTAGCATGAAAATTAGCATTCAATTGGCGGACTTAGAATGATGGACGGTGTAGAGGTGGTGAACAAGTGCAGACCGGCGAGGGGGGAAGGAGGAGTTTACATATTGATGAAAAAATATACTGTACCATTGAAAATTAGTTTAATGTTTGGTTCGATTTAGAACATCTTTCCAATGGTTGCTTAATTTGAAACCATCCTCTCGGTTGAAATTGTGTCTGTGTTTGTAGATCTGAATTGCCTCGTGAACAAATCTCTGATAAAAACCCGTGGGTTTGCAAAGAACCTTGGCATCGGAGAAAATTATATCGTGATCACCCACAGCGTTGTAACAGTGATCAGCCACGGCAGAATAATTCGTTCTGCCATGTTTCAAATCTGATTTGTGCTCGCGAATTCGGTCAGAGACATGTCGCTTTGTCTCCCCGATATAGCAATCACCACAAGTGCAGCTCAATTTGTAAACACCGGGGTACTGTAAGTCAGGAATGACATCCTTCACGGAAGGGATCAGGTCACAATCAAAACCATCACGCTACCATATATAGCAGGCGTTACTAAAAAGATCTCCAAAATTCTAAACAAACACAAGATCCGGGTCCGGTTCAATACAGTACACAAAATTCGTGATCTGATCCCTTCTGTGAAGGATGTTGTTCCTGACTTACAGTACCCCGGGGTTTACAAATTGAGTTGTACCTGCGGTGATTGCTACATCGGGGAGACAAAGCGACATGTCTCTGACCGAATTCGCGAGCACAAATCAGATTTGAAACACGGCAGAACGAATTCTTCTGCCGTGGCTGATCACTGTTACAACACTGTGGGTGATCACGATATAATTTTCTCCGATGCCAAGGTTCTTTGCAAACCCACGGGCTTTTATCAGAGATTTGTTCACGAGGCAATTCAGATCTACAAACACAGACACAATTTCAACCGAGAGGATGGTTTCAAATTAAGCAACCATTGGAAAGATGTTCTGAATCGAACCAAACATTAAACTAAAAAAAAGTAATAATAATAACAGAATAAAATTATCACGTCGTTTCGGCCACAACACAAGTAGCCTTCCTCAGGTGAAGAAACAGGACTCTCCGGAAGACGCCGCTTGAGTGACCACTTTTTTCAAATGTTCTTGTTGTGGTTTTCACACCTGATGATGATTGCTTGTGTTGCAGTCGAAACGTCGTGAGAATTGTATTGTTTTATACTTTTATTATTTTATTGTTTCCC